ACCAAAAAAAAAAAAAAAAAAAAAAAAAAAAAAAAAAAAAAAAAAAAAAAAAAAACAAGAACTAAGGATAAGAACCAAAAATAAGATTAAGGACAAAAACAAAGACTAAAAACTAAGGATAAAGACTAGGACATTGATCCAGATAAGTTCTCATAACTAAGGACCTAGAATCTTGGAACTAAGACCTTTAGACAACCGCCAATATTAAGAACTTCGGACTCAAGAACGGAACCTAAGGGTCTAAGCTCTCAAATCAAGAACAAGAATATGACAAGAAAGAGTATAGTATCCTAGCACACCTTAAAGACACGATTAAGATCCTACAAACATACTACTTAATGAATTTTTGTACTCATTCAAGTTTTCTATTATATTTTATTCTATGCTTGTCTAGGAAATGAAGTAATTGGGAGCTATCTCTATCAAGTATGTCGTAGAGAAAATGTCTGAAAATTCTAGAAAAAAGTTAAAAGAAACTTACCCACATCTCAGTAAGCTTCTCCAAGCTAATTTAGCCTCCACCAGCTTTTAACATATTCATAGAAGTTATTGTACCAGTTTTCTTTCGAGAGAGGATAACGATTTTAATGTGATTTTAAGGATGCTCATCCTATCTCGTTCGAGAAATTTAGATTTCGATAAGTCTTATACAATGTTAAGAATCACGACTCTCTACAATGATATGATATTGTCCATTTTGAGCATGAGCTCATACCAATGGAGATGTCTTCTTCACTTTTGACTACACCTTCGAGGCTAGCAAGTCGATCCTTCATGAGTTGTTTGTAACTACAACAAGGTCAAAAGTTCGTTTAGCCATGTAATTATATACTTCACCTTAAATATCACTAATTCTCTAATAAATAATTTGTTTATGATTCAATCATAAACTAAGTTCCTCTCTGGCCGGTAAGATGGTGAGTCCCATTGTTCAAGTCTCAAAATCAGCACTTAAGGGAATTACTCATCTATATACTCTATATCGTTAGGAGCAAATGTCATCTCTAGAAACTATGTTCTCAACTCCCTATTTGGTCAAGTCTCAAAATCATCCTCACCCATGCAAATTAAAGGACAAGTCCTCACAAGCCAAAGTTCATTACTCACTCATAATTAAGATTGAGTCTCATATGATCATCCAATGTTATAATACTCATTGTATATGATACTCTCACTCATATGTCTCCATATGAGCGATTTGGATCAAATCATGCTTAATAATTACAAAGTGAGCCGAATCAATGTGTTACCAAGATAAGGCATCAAACCTTATCTATTTATGGTAAACTATTTAGATTATTACTTGAACATGATCTTCCTATATCTCAATCACCTACCGTTCAACCTTAGATTAATATCGTTGAATTTTTCATACTAGGATAATGTTAAATCCCAAATAAAAAAATTTAAATGATTAATAAAAATTAGTTAATGACATAAATTTTAATATAGGTTAAACAAGAATAAGTTGTGATTGGACACAGATGATCAGAATGAATTGTTTAGAACTTTAATTAGGCATAACTATGCTATGTTGAACCATGACAAACCGAACAACCTGAGAGAGACTTAGATTAGACATTATTATGTTGTCTCTTGAACCTTATGATCGATTTAAGTTAAAGAAGTCTTATTTGACTGTCTAAAAGCATGTTAGTGGATGATATTTACATGTATGCTCACTGATGAAATTTACTAGGTACGATGTAAATCTAGGCGTATGACAAGCATATCAGACCGTTTAACTATGCATATTGCTATGTCTGATTATGACCCACTATTGGTGTCGTGAGATTTTATGATTACGGGAATGATTCGAATTCAACCCCTAATTGTGAACTCATCTCGATGGGGGAGCTTTACCTACTGTAAGTTCATTCTCTAGTACCTTACTTGACTCGATATATCTTGCTGGATTTTTAACAAATGAGCTGAAACTTGTTTCAAACGATCTATGGTGTGTAGGACTGCAAAGTAGGTGAAAAAATCGTGAGCAAATAGCCACTAGGTCAATGGAAAAAGCTTAACTTTTATAGGGTAAAAGCAGACACGCTCTTGGGTCGTCACCATCTCAAGGTAGATAATGATGGCGGGGCGGTTCTAGAACCGACTACGTCATCCCCTTTGAGTTTTTAGACCTTTACTCACTGTTTGGACTAGCTCTCACACTATGTTCCAGAAAATATGCTCAATTTGGGGCGTACCCAGGAATTAAAGAAAAATCAATTTTAGGAAGGTCATGAAAAGTGATATCGAACACGATTGAATAGGTAAATAACTACATGGAACGAACTTTGTTAATTGTTTGGATCGGTTCACTTGTTTTTCGATTGGTTCTCATAAAAGATGTTTGTTGCTCAAGAAATTAGACACAATTTGCCACCGATTCAAGAAATTTGGAGAAAATCTAACTTCAAGAAGAGAGTTCGAACACACCCAAATATGTAAGTAGTTATATGGAGCAAGTTTCAAGTGTAGATGTCGATTAGGACCATGGGCATATGATTAGAAATCATATTTATGAATCTAATTGACCAAGTTTCATGATAGCTAAACCTAGAAAATGTAATAATTTCTAGTTTAGCACGTTATCTCGTTTTACAGCTTTTGTAGTGCATATGTGAACCATAATAGAGTTAATATGTTTATAAGCTCTCGAGCATACCTTGGTTTATTTACCATTCTTTGTTCGAGTAGGTTGAGAGTAGTATTCACATTTTTAATGTATAATTTTGGGTTTGGGAACTCGTCTATACCCAATATTATTATTAAATGATGTCATGTGTTCTAGAATGTATGTTATGACTATTGTTGTTTTAGTTATATGGGTCCTAGAACCTAAATGTGGACTCTATAGAACTTTGTGTTGACCAAGGATCTCATAGGGACGTTTAGATTATAACCTTTATTCGTGAACTAGTTAAGAAAGGTTAGGATATATTTGATACATAGAGTTCAATTGTCACTCACAAGGTCTCAGGAGTCATAGAGGTTATACTACTAAGGAAATCCTGGTTGTGTCTAGTGGGGGAGTCATAGCCTTATACGGTTCTAATGTGAGAGGGAGTGTGCGAATCGAAAGTAGTCATAGCTTGAAAAGGCAATATGACAGGTAGTTTACTTGTTAGTTCTAGCCTGATGATAAGAATGATAAGTAACATGTAGTTTACTAATCTTAGAGAAAGACAGTTGTTGTAATAACCAAGTCGATCGCTATTAAATATTGTCCGTGAGTTGAGTGTGTGAGGTCCTAAACTTATTTAACTACTTTTGTATAATCATGAACCCAGATGTAGAAAATGGAAGGGAGATTAATGAGCTAGTTAAAGAAGAAGTCTAGGAGAATGAGGAGGAATTGAAAGATAGGAGTCATTTGCACTTATTACAAGAAAACTTCTTAAAACTCAAGTTACGAAGAATGATGTTGATAATTAAAGAGACAACTTATTTCACACACGATGTTTAGTCAAGGAGACTCCTTGTAATTTTGTTATTGATAGTGGAAGTTTCACCAATGTAGTAAGTACCATGTTGATCAAAATGTTGCAAATTTCAACCCAAAATCATCCTCAACCTTATAAGCTTCCAATGCCAGTGGAACAATGAAGCTAGTTTCTCAAGCATTAATATCTTTTACTTTAGGAAAATATAAAGATAAAGTTTTTTGTGATGTGCTACCAATGCTTGTTGGAGACATATTACTTAACCGACCTTACCAATTTGACAGGAGGTCATGTATGATGTTTATTTGACCATATATGCATGGTATGAAACTATTATTCAGCCATATATGCATCGTATGAAACTATTATTCAACCATATAAAACCCTACTTAAAAAATAATAATAAAAAAAAAAACCTATGTACAACTTAATCATATCTCTCCACAATAGTATAATATTGTCCACTTTAATCATAAACTTGTGTGGATTTGCTTTTGGAAACCCAAAAGGCTCTCAATCCTCCTCTAAAAAAAGTACACCATACCGCCTCTCCTAAAGCATATGGCTCTTGAACAATGGAGGTTCACTTCCTTCTCTAGAACCCTAAACAAAGTATATGGCTAAGTTAATAGCATAACTCTGATACTATGTTAGAAACTACGACTCTCTACATATGATATTGTCTACTTTGAGAATAAGTTCTCCAAAATATCTCATACCAATGGAGATTAATACTTTACTTATAAACTTAGGTTCAATCTCTTAACGAGGACATGTGGGGCTCCTCTACCAACAATTCTCCACACAATTTCCCACGATACTCATGAGCAGCAACGACACAATCCAACCTGATATGAACCAAAAGACATCAATCATACAAGATGCTTCAATGGAGATGTGAAAAAAATATTGTTGAAATTATCAAAAGATATTTCAATTCATGTCACATT